TATGATTTGAAGTCATTGTCACACTCTATGGTGTGTGTGCCAGAATAAAGCTAAACTCCTGGGTAGGAAGTGAGCCCTTACCTGTCATTTCTGGTGTAATTACCCAGGGAAAAGGCAGAGCATTCATACCAAACGTCAGAACTGGAAGGAGAGACCCCATGTGGAGCAGCGGTGGAACTGGCGCCCATGATGTTCTCCATTGTCAGAGGGACTAAAATTCAAGAGCTGCCCCAGAACAAGAAGGGGTTGGACGGTGGAAGACAGGGACCTAGGAAGCCCGGTGATGCCTTAGTGGCCAGAGAGAGCTGTCAGCAATGAGTAGAATAGGGAGGGCACTGAGGCCAAAGGTGGAGCAGGTTAGTGAAGACGATTGGAAACCTGTTCTCATGTTCTATCTATCTCATGTCCTTAACTCTAGGAGTTAAAGACAATCTCAGTAAGTTTCAGGGGATCTCAAGAAGTTTGTGTCCCCAGACCAGAGCCTTACATAAAGGAGGGTACAGTGATGGTGGCAGCAGAATCTGGGATATACTGAAGGGGCAGGGAGCTTAGAGTGGGGTTCTTGTGGTTCAGATGCTTCTTTTCACCAAGGCATCTTACAAAAACCCAGAGGCTCTGCATTTGCATCACCATTTGTTCAGCATTTATGCTGAGTGCCTGCTCAGAGGCAGGGCCTGCTGGGTGGGCTCCAGGGACCCAGAGAGGAATTCCCTAGACCGTGCCCCTGGGGACAATCAATCACAACAGCTAAATGAGGGCCCGCTGTCCACAGGGGGTTATCTTGGGAGTGGGACATGAAATACTTTATATCTGAGATCTAGTGCTGTTCTCTGGGTTAAACACTCCTTTGTCAAGATCATAATTTAATATCCAGTGTCCCTGAGAGGGGTGAAGGGCTTGGTGAGCACAGGGCTAGGAAAGCAGCCTTTGAAGTAAATGCCATCATTAGCACAAGGACAGTGGGCTCTTGTTGTCAGAAGAGCTCATTCCAGGAAACTCCCAGCGCAGACTGGAAATAGCACTCCTGCCCAACTTCGGCCTCGGGATGTCTGGAGCTTGTCCCCACGCTTGTGTTTCTGCTGGCTTCCATCTCAGCAAGGACACTGAATCTACGCTGCTGTCCAAGCTGCACAGGGCTCTCTGCAAGACTCCTTCCTCTCCCACCAGCCAATGTCACCAAGACACTCCAGTCTCCGCCCAGACCCACAGCATCAGGCGCTCAAGCTCTCCTGCCTCTAACCTGGCACTCTCCAAATTCAACCTCCTCACAGGCAGGCACCAGACGGAGCTCTCGGAAAAGCAGAACTGATCCCGTCACTTCCCTGCGGCAAGTCCTTCAGTGCCTCCCCTCCCCACGAGAATCAGGTCCACATTGCTCTCTACCCCATGACTCTGCTGCTGCCCCTTTATCTCCCTCCTATGTGTGCATCTGGGGTGGAGATGGAGACACAGTGGAGGACTCTCCTGAGTGTGCCCCCTTCACAGGGCAGAGGCACACCCTGTCACATCTCTGCCCTGGCATCCTTCACACGTCAGCTCAGGTGTGGCTTCCTGGGCAAGTCTCCTTCTATGGGCTCCCACAACCTCTGTTCCTCCTTCCACAAATGCATCTAGTATCACTATCCACAGACGCCTGCCTCCACCCGGCTGAGAACTCCCTGGGGGTGGGCACCCGCTCCGATTATCCCTAGCACCCCACATAGGGCCTGAAAGCGTCTAGTGTGGAACAACACTCAGCTCTTAAGGGGTCTGGCTGATTTACTGCTTGTTAATTCTGTAAACAGAGAGCCACAGGACAGAAGGAGTGAGGCTGTGAGCATTTATTTATTTATTTATTTATTTATTTATTTATTTATTTATTTATTTGTTTGTTTGTTTTAAATTTATTTTAATTTTTATGTATTTTCATATTTTTATATTTATATGGCTGTGAGCATTTAGACGCAAGACTGGGAGCTGTTCTGCAGCTCAGATAGCTCAGGCCGTGTGACTGATGATGGATGCCACAGTGAGAGTCAGGAGCAGACCCATGGTGAAAGCAGGCAAGGCAGGTACCTGAGGGCAGTGCCATGTTTGCCACGGGACACAGCAATTCCTGAAGTCAAATGTGAATTTTTTTTTAAAGATTTATTTATTTATGCATGCAAGAGTTGGGGCAAAGGCCAGAGATGTGGAGGGTGAGAGGATTCACCAGAGACAGAGTGGGGAGTAGAACGGCGGACCCATCGAAATACACTGCTGAAGGGAGTAGCGGGCAAGACAGGAGAGGTCTGCTTTGCCATGTGGGCCACTCCCTGGCTGGCCAGGGATTGAACTTATGCTGCAGAGGCTGTAGACTGACCCATAGTGCAGTGCCCTTGCACCACCAGGGAGGCCCTCAAATGTGAATTTGAATGGGGTTCAAATAATGTTTGTTGAGTACCCGCTCCACAGCAGGTGCTCTGCTAGGGGCCTTCTCAGAGCTTGAAGTAGAGAAACCAGAGAACATGTCATCCAAACTAGAACACTTTTACCACAAAGGGCACTATCAATAAATACTCCGGGACGACAGGTATAAACCAGAACAGCCCCGAAGAGTTGATGGCCAGCACAAAGCATGTCTTAAGAGCTTTGTGACTAGGCCTTGCTTGATGTTTGTTAATACAGAAGAGAGTCTAGTTATAAGTGAGCAAATCAGAGACTTGTAATTGATGATGGCAATGTGGCTAAAACCTCTCTCTTCAGCAGCCCTAAACCCCTTCCTTCTTTTAGTTCCTCCTCCATGGCCTCACTTGCCAGTCTTTTCCTTGAGGATTCATCTAAAACACCATTTTGCGCAGTGGTTCCAGGTTATCATTCCCCCTGGCCCCCTGGTGTGCTGTGTCTTTTCTTTTTTTTTTTTTCTTTTTCTTTTTCTTTTTTTTAAAGATTTATTTATTTATTTTATACAAGCACTAGGTACAGTCAGAAGCACAGGAGGGTGAGAGAATTCACCAGAGCCAGAGCGGAGAGCAGAACAGAGTGACAAAGTCCACTGCTGAGGGGAGCAGCGGGCGGCAGGAGAGGTCTGCGCGCCATGTGGGACCCTCGCCCAGTGACTGGGGATCGAACCAGCGCTACAGAGGCTGCTGGCAGCTTCACAGCCCAGCGCTCAACCGCTGCGCCACCAGGGGAGGCCAGGTGTCCTGTGTCTTTTCACTTGTCATATTTCATAGTCATCTCCAGGAATAATTTTTGCCTCTATAAACCATATCACATTTGGCATAACAGAATTTGCATGTTCACTCCAATTCAATTTAACAATAATAATTTTGTTATTGAATATCCATTATCAACCTGATCAGGAAAAAAATGTAGGGACTGTTGTCTTCACCAGTTCTTATATCCATAAATAAATAAATCTTTTTTTAAAAAAGAAAGAAATGGTGAAAGAAATAGGTGTTGTGTTTCTATCAGGGAAACTACAGTCGACTCAGAGGCCTGGTGGGCACAGGGAAGAACCCAGTGGACAACAGATACTCCCCAAGACAATCAGGAACATCTTCTCTTTGCCAGGAAAACTAATTAGGTTGGCACCAAGAGTTCAGAGCAACAAAGGGGCTTGCCGAGCATATTTGCAATCTTCTTTTATAGACAAGGAAAAGGCAATGGAGAGGAAGCAGATATAGTAAAGCTATAACTACAAAAGCACTGACGTGGCAGGTGGGCTACAAAGGGACCTTGGAAAGCTGAGTTGATATAGGAGGATCAATATAATAGTTGAGTTGAATTGCGATAGCTATACTGAACCTAAAGATTTATTGTCGTTAATCCTTGCTCTAATACATGCATTAAGTATACATTTTTGTGTGGTCAATATAAATGTTGCTCTTCAATTCAGGACATTTTTATTGATATCTTCAAAGAGACGATGGAGAATGAGGTACACTCGTGCATCTCTGAATTACTCCAACACTGGGACCTTTGCTGTCTCAGCAATCACTACTTATCATCTGACAGCAGTCAGAGGGTCATAAAATCACAGTCATCAATGTTGGAAGAGACTCAGATGTAATCTCACTACAATGTCTTCCAAACAATTGAGCCGCTTCTATGACCATTTTTGACAGTGTCATTTAGCTTCAAGTTGAACACTTTTAGTAAGGCAAAGTTCGCAACTCACCCACCCACTCAATCCTCAGGCAGCTATAATTGTTAAAAAGTTCTGTTTCTCCACAGACCTGCCTCTCCCTTTGTTCTTGGAAGATGTCTGTCCTGTTCTATCTGATAACTCCTCAGAGAAAGCATGCTCATAGTCTGCCTCCTTTCTCTAAGCTATAAAATCCCAAGGTCTTTCATCATTTCTTACAAAGTCTTGCTCTGTGAGCAAACTTGGTGGGGACATCCAGTGTTCTCCCCCTTTCTCTGGAAGCAACCCCTCTTTTCTGGGAACATGTTTGCTACAACCATGTGGCTCCAGAGATACTGACTTGTTATTTCATATCCTTGCCTCGTGGGCCAGAGTTGGCTTGCCCAAAGATGGACATGTCTTCCAAGCTAGGCCAATCTCAGTCCTTTTGCCACTGAAACTGGAACATAAGAGCAAGTCACTCTGCTGCTGGGAGTCATCATATGTGACGTGGGCAGTTACTTCTCTGCATGTGGAGGATGCGAGTCTACAGTCTCCAATTATGTAAGATACTACGGCACTCAGCTAATAAATTCTCTTAGGCGATCTTGCTTACACTAGTTTAAGTTATATTTCTTTTGCCTATAAAGACCCTTGTGGATATGGGTCTGTTTCAGTGTGCTTGTTTCCTTTGGCCCACAGGACCTCCACAACTGAAGCCAATATTTGCGAGGGTGGGGAAAAATAGGTTGGTCAGTCCACCTGAGCGACAAGGCCAGTGGGCCCCAGCCTTCCCTGGACTTGACCCTGTCTCCCTAAGTTGCAGCTCTTAGTGCATGTTCCCAGCATAGCACATCCCTCTCCCAGATCAAGCCACAAGACCCGCAGCTACTGAGGAGGTTCTATTACTCACGGGGTCGTTGTACATCTGGACGATGAGCTGCTTCACTCCATGCAGGGTAGGGTGAGCCCATGGAGAGGGGTCCAGCCAGTGACGGTTCAGGTCAAAGCCCATTAGAGAGCACCTGGGTGGTACCGAAAGTCAAGGTCAAGGCTCTCACTTGTCAAAATACAGTCAGGAATAGAAGCTGTTGTGTCACTTACCAGGCATTTATTCTTTGCCAGAGACAGTTCTGGGCATCTATTATTATTCATTTATCCCATGTGTTCGACAAACCTATGAGTCATTAATATCATAATTTCCATTGCACAGAAGAAGAAATTGAGTCACAGGGAGTTTCAAAAATATTTTTTGAGGAGTATTATGTCAGTGTCACGCTCTGACCTACCTCTCCCCCCCAACCCGCTCCCCACACACACGAAAGACGTAGACTAAGTTTGTAGTCTGTAGCAGACTGGAATCAGGCAGATCTGAATTTGTATCTCTGCTCTGTCTGCTCCTAATCTAGTAGGCATTTGTTCATTTTCTTTAGGGAATGCCCAGCATCTACCCCTGTAATGGGATAGAGTGGGGTGGAGTGGGATGAATTGCTCCTCCCTCATTACAAGATGAGTACACTGTGTCTGCACCTTTTCTCCCCCCACTGAAGACAGATGGGCCAAATGCTCCCTCTCTGTGACCTGGCAGCCAGGGCAGCATCAGGGAACCCAGACTCAGGCAATAGACCCACTTGGGACTTAAACTTGGACAAGGTGATGCAGACTGGGTAGAATAGAGCTTCAGTGGAACAGAGGTAGATAATATCTGCCAACAGCCAGTTTTCTTCCCTCCGGAACTCCACTGTTAATTATTTGTTTTCCAAACCTGACTCTCCAGCTTTTGCTTTATTCTGTAAGTCCTTTCCTATAAATTTGCTTCTTGCTTAAGTGTCTTGAGATGGTCCCTATTTCTTTAACTCAAATCCTCCCTAACATTATGGCTTTGTGAGCTAATTTATAGCTTCTATGCATTACTAACCAGGCTTTCCCCCAGAATTAGGGACTTAGGAAAAGCATACATTTGCAAAAAAAAAAAAAAATTATATATATATATATATATATATATGTTAAAATACAAAGTAAACCAAAAATTCTAGAAAATGGATTGATTCAACTTTAAAAATATACTAAACAGTAATTAGCAATATCTTAACATTAATTGCAAGAAGTTTTCAACATTTGAGATCTGTATGGGATCTAAACCTTGCCTCTAGGCATTCTCAAGGTGCTCTGAGCTTTGAAGAGAGTTTGTCAAAGATCAAGGCAGGGGAGAGAATTCCAGGCAGAGGGTGTGGCATGTGCAAAGTCAAGGAGAAAAGGGTTGGAAATACTACATATTTCTAACAGACTCTTAATGAGTTATGCTGTTGCCCTAGCTAGGCTATAAGCATCAGAAAACTCTCTCTTCATGGTTTTTTCAGGACCTAAATCAGCTGTCTAAAGATCAGTGAATGGACAAGATGCCTTCCAGGTGACAGGCTCACACTCCCATGAGTACTGGTTTACACTCACTGGGCCTCTGTCTCCTTGCTGCTTTTTTATTCTGTTTATTTTTAAGATGACATTTCTGCATGAGCTCAAAATCAGGACCTATGTTGTGACACAAATGGGGCTATTTAAGGCACCATAGAAACAGAGTATTTGACATTAGGATCATCCTAGAAAATTTATGGAAGTCCAATTTTTAGATTGCTGTGTAATGTATCATTTCTGAGCTGGAGATACTCTTGAATATCTTTTCTTTCTTCTTCCAAACTGTAAGCCTGCTGAGGGCAGGGGCTATGTCTGAATCATTTTACCTCCACTCCAACTTAGCTATTATAGACCCATGAGTAGAGAAGGTTCAGTGTATCTACTGAATGAATGAGCAAATGAATAGATGCACAAATGCATGAATGCCCTGCAGGTTTGCAAGCAAGGTTTAACTAATTACTTGAGAACAATTTTAAAGAGTTTTTAATGTAAGCACCTGTTACATGCTAAGACTTTTCACAATGACTAAGTCAGACAGGTATTGTTTATCTTCATTTTATAAATAAGCAAATAAAATCCGAGAGATTTGACCTTGAGAAGGTCATTTGAAAACTACTAGAATTTAGAGTTGGGATTCAAACCCAGGTCTTATTGATGTCAGGATGGTCTACAGTGATTCTTTGAGATCCTCAGCCATGAGCCAGGCACTGTGATTGATGAAAGGGACTATAAACCACTTTGCTCTTCCTCCCCTGCCCAATGGCAGAAATACAATGGTTCCAGAGAACACCATTCAAATGACAAATAAATAGCTCCATCTTCTGAAGGGCATTGTGCCTCATCCCTGTTCCAATAATGGCAGCTAGAATGAGAACAATGATTTTAATTCCCCTTCTTATGAGTTCCTTTTCATCTCTTCTAAAGGATAGAGAAAAGAGCACCTTAGTGACTCCAGATCAATCTTGTCCTGAGAACTCTGGGGCTGCGTGCTCCTGGAGGGTGGCATTGACAAACAGAGATGTATGGGGTATGCATGCAATTGTCCCTCAAACACAGTAGTTTTTCACCATTACCAACGAGCTGGATTGGATTAAGTACATTTGCACCAAAAGCAAAATAAATATTGCTTTATTTAATGCCACTAAGAGGTTGAGATTCAATTGCCCTTGGCCTGAGGCACCTCCCAGCTGTATTGATTGAGCAGTGTCAGAATGCCAGACAATCTGTCACTCACAGCTCCTGCAAAATGCTTAGCAGGTGGGGTGAGCTCTGTGGTGGGGTGGAGATGGAGGATAGTGGGCAGTGTCCTTTGTCTCAAACACAAGGGATCATTGCAACACACCTACTCCCCATCACCTCTACCAGGGTAGTTAAAGCATTTCCCTTACATCCTTTCTTAGATCATCACCAGGAGATGTATAGGCAGAGGGGAGGATGGAGAAGGACATAGGCTTTAAGTCAAAAGGACTTGAGTTTGGGTCCCAGATTTTCCCCCAGTAGTTGTGTGATCTTGGACAAATTTGTGTTTTGCTCAAGGACCTGAAAGCAATGAGAGGTTAGAGGTTGCATCTATATCATTTGCCACTAAGTCTTCAGGCTAGAACAGTGGCAGGTACACAGCCAGCTCTCCATGCAACTATATAAAAAGTGGCTCAGAAATGTAAGGTAAGTTGTCTGTAGCCCAACAGTAAGTGCCAAAGGCAGGACTTGAACCCACTCTGCCCAGCTCTGAAGTCTGTTTTGGCCATCACTCTGTTCTCTCTTCTCAGTCCTGGGAGACAAAACAGCACCTGAGAGAGGGAGTCATGTGAGGTGAGCGTGGATGAAACACCTTTATTTTTAAATGGCAAAACTCATTTAAATGGGAGTAGCTTGAAGGATACCATTTTGCAAGTTATCCAAAGATGTCCCTCTCAGGTTGACAACTCACAAAGGTGTAGGTGAAGTATAAAACAATGCCACCTGCTCTGGTCAGACTTGGGGTTGCAGCCCCCAGAGTCATGGTGCCTCTCAGCTCCCTGGAGCAGGAGCTTTTGTGCACACACTGCACATCCATGTGAGGTGGTCTTGGATACTCAAGGGTCATGTCAGAGCCAGGCTGAGTGCTGGGGTTACCACCCTGCAGGAACAGTACATTCTGGCCTCCTCTCTGGCACATGGGGTGCCACCTGTTAGACCCCCCCCACTGCCTCTTGTTATGCTTGTAGCCAATGGGGAAGTTGGATTTGGGGGTGAAGTAAAAAGAGGTCAATTTTAGCCACAGGTATAATTCATGCTTCTAGCTCCTTCTTTATTAATAACAAAGTGAATATAATATTTTGACCCTTCTTTCTGATTCTATATCTCCTTTGAAATTGGAAGAAGTAGGATGTGAGTGGGAATATGGTGAATGATCAACCCCACATCTCCAGTGGAAATCATTGCTGTCAGACTCTTAGAACAGTATCTGCCAGTTTGTATAAGTTCAAGTAATGTCTTTTATTATTATCATCACTGTTGTTACTTGCATTATTGTTTCTTTGGTTTCTGACATGTGCCATCTCTTCCTCTGGCTAATTCCCACTCATCCCTCACACAGTCTCTCCTCCCGGAGGCTGGCACAGGGTAGAGCCCACATCAGCACCCCAGTGCACAAGATCAGGCATGTGCTACCTGAGCATCTAGGGGTTACAGGGGCAGGAGGAGGGGGGAGGAAAAAAGAAGGGAGGGAGGAAATAACTTAGTTGAAGGACTTCTTGAGCAGAAGCAGAGGGCCCCAAAGCACAGCTGTGAGTGAGAACGGGCCAGTTGAGGGCGCTGGAATTGGCCCAGGAAGGCAAGAGAAGATAGTACAGGCAAGGCGGAGGCAGGAAGGGAGATGAAGCTAAGAAGGAAGATCCAGGACACTGTTCATGCCTTGAATACCAGACTAAAGACACAGGTTCCTTGTGATGGTCAGTGGGGGGCCTTGGAAGGACAGAATGCAGACACTGTCCAAACAGCGGTTTAGGAACTGAGATCAGCAGCGACAGAATTCTTGATTCTATCACTTTGTTTTGCTCCTCCAGACTTCCTGGTCGCTAATTCTGGGTTACTGTCTCCTCAGAGGCCTGTCGTCACTGTAGAATCAATTATTAAAATAAACTTGCTATCAACTCTAACTTTGAAATGCTATTCAGCTGCTGGCGGGACAGAGACGGGGAGCTGCCCCCACAGACACCTAGCCATCTGGCCTTTTCCGAGGAACCTGGCTGGGAAGCTCATTTGAATAATTGGTTTTGGCGGTGTGCACTTGTGGGTTAGCCACCTGATTACACTGCCAGCCCCAGTGTCCTTTCAGCCTCCATAGAAACATCACTCAGGTTACATAAAGCAGGAGAGAGTCTCCAGGAGGTAAGGCTCTGTCTGTCCCCTGCTGTTAGTTGCGCTTCATCTCGACTATGTAGTTCACTTACTGTGTGACCTTGAGCAAGTTTCTTAGCTTCTCTGTGACTTGGTTGCTTCTTTCTTAAAGAGGGAGAGTGTTTCCTGTCCTGTCTATGCCACAGGCTTCTGTTAAGGCTTTAAGAGGATTTGGGGTCTTAGCAGGCAAGTGAAAGGTTTTGGTTGTGGAGAAGGTCACGTCAGCAGCTGT